CACCGGGCACGATGATCACCGGGCCACCCCCTCCAAACGCTGCCCGGTGCCGGCTCCAAGACAGCCATGGGTGCCCTGCTGGGTGCCCAGCACTGCTGCATGCTGGGGCTGTGCTCCTGGGTGCTGCAGCACCTGTGGGTGATCACAGGGCCCCGCATGGGCACTGGGCTTTGCTGGTGCCATTTGACTTGTCTAATAAAGTGCTGAGTTCAGCCCTCCTGGAGGGGCACAATCAGGCCCATGGCAGGAAAGGGTCCCTGGGGGCAGATGCTCCTCAAAGTCCCCTGCCATGGGGCAGGGTGACAAGGCAGGGGGCACGGGCAAGCCCTGGGGGACACCCAGCCTGCCCTGGGCACAGGTGGCCAGCTCAGCACCCAGCGTTTGGAGAAGGGCAGCACTCGCAGGAGCTGGACAGACAGCAACAGAGGGTTAAAAACCCCTCAGTTCCCCCCCAACACTGCCCTCCCTTTTCCCTGGCACAGCGGTAAAAAGGCACCTATGACTTTTTAGGAAACCGTTACTTTTTCCCCTAAAAATATAAAGAGAGATACTGTTTGTATCTAAAATGCACCTGGCTGAACTCAGCCCCCCACCCCAAAACCCCTCCCTGAGAGCCCCAGCCCCCTGAAGGCTGGGGGACATCCTGGCTAGGACTCAGCCCCATGGGGGTGAACCCTGGCTGCGGGAAGGGGGGCCAGGGCTGGTGTAAGGCTGGGCAGGGGGCACGCTAAGGCTTGTATTGAGGTGTCCCCCCTCCCGGTAGTTGCAGCCATTGGTGAAATTGCAAAGGGTTGGGGGCAGGGGTGCACAGCCCTCACAACAGGGCAGGGGACCCCCTCCATTAGGGACCAGGGGGGCTCCCATTAACACAGAGTTACTGGGAGCTGGGGGAGGCAGCCAGATCCCTCCCCCCACTGGAAACAAACTGAGGTTGGAGGGGGGATTTAAGAGCCCCTCTTGGCATAGCCCTTGCAGGACTGCGGGGTGGGTGGGGGGGCGGGCGTGGAGACGCAACACCCCAAGGCACGTGGAGGGGCATTTACAGCCAGAGGCTCAGCCCTGAGGCCAGGCTGTCTCACAAAACTCGCCCCTGCAGGTAGGGACACCACAAGGCATGAGGAAGGGGTACAGACATCCCTCCCGCCCCGAGGTGATCAGCTGCACCAAGGGCAGAGTTAAGGGTATGGAGGTGGCCCCTATGCTCCAAGGCTAATGGGACCCCCTTTTCTTTTTGGGATGGAGTGGCAAGGGGTTGACTCTTCCTGTGGTATCCTGTGGATAGGGGCCAAGGGCTGCCAGCCCCCCCAGCAGGCAGAGCCCAGATGGGGGTCCATCCCCCTAAAGGCAGTGGAAAGCAGCAGTTGCTGACCCCCTCTCCCCACTCTGGGGGACATGGAGGAGAAAAGGACCTGAGAACTGTTTTGGGGAGAGGGGACACAGGTTGGGGGGGGTGGACGGGACCTCCCCCCAGCAGGTCCCCAGCACAGCAAGGCAATGGGTCACCCATAGGCCACCCTTTTTGGAGGAGGGCACCCAAGCAGAGGGACACCCAGTTCCCATGGCAGGGGCACGGCCACCCC